TTTATTTTTTTTATTTTTTTTTTTTTTGTAATGATGTTTACTTTGAATTTATATTAGTTCACACAAACACTCCATCATGCTTTTGTTCTGGCCCTCTGGTCCAGTTTAAGAACCCATTGTGGCCCTTGAGTCAAAAAGTTTGCCCACCCCTGAGCTAAAGTGTGGGTGGGCATAGGCAGGTTTTTGTGCGGACACACGTTTTCAACTCCTTAAATACCAAGGAGTGTGATTGCTGGGCTGTATGGTGCCTGTTGGTTTAGAAGCTGCCAAACTGTCTTCCAAAGTGGCTGCACCACTTTGCATTCACACCAGCAGTGAACAAGCGTCCCTGTGCTCCACCTCTTCACCGGCACTTGGTATTGTCGGTTTTCCTGATTTGGGTCCTTGGAATAGGGACATAGTGGTATTTCATTGTTGTTTTAATTTGCATTTCCCTAATGACATAGGATGTGGAGCATCTTTTTGCTGGGGTCCAACCCCAGCGGGTCCAGGGGTCCCCAAAGGTGTGGATGGAGTCGGCGAAGAAGGAATGACACGGAGACAGCGTTCAGTTGATCAGCAGCCTTGCCAGGATCTCTAGCCAGGATCTCCAGCGAAGTTCTGGTTAGGATCTCCAGCCAGGTTCTGTGTCCATGTTCTCTTGCTAGGTTCTCCAGCCAGGTTCTGTAGCCATGTTCCCTCACTAGGTTCTCCAGCCAGGTTCAGTCACCAGGTTCTAGTCAGGTTCTCTTGCCATGTTCTATCCAGGTTCTGTAGCCAGGTTCTGTCTCTAGGTTCTTCAGCCAGGTTCTTTCACTAGGTTCTGTCTCTAGGTTCTGTGGCCAGTTTCTGTCCAGGATCTTTTGCCATGTTCTCTCGCTAGGTTCTATCTCTAGGTTCTGTTGCCAGTTTCTGTCCAGGATCCTTTGCCATGTTCTCTCCAGCGAAGTTCTTCTGTCTCTAGGTTCTGTGTAGGTTCTGTCTTCTTGGTTCTGTCTTCTAAGTTCTGTCTCTTTTACTTTTTCTTTAAGCTTCTTTTCAGATGTCACTTTTGCTATATAACCAGAGCATTTCCTTTCCCCAAAGGAAAGTCACTACATTTTCCATAGCTTTTTGAGTATGTACCTCACTGTGTGTTTACAAATCTCGTCCTTCCATCATGTACCAAGAGCTGCCTAGAGTGTGTACATAAGAAAGTCAGAAACTACTTGATAAAGGATGTTGAAGAATGACTCCTTGCCTAGATGGGCAAGTCCAAAGCAAAGCCTATGTAAATACTACAGGTTCAGTTCCAGACCACTCCAATAAAGCCAGTATCTCAATAAAGCGAGTGGCAATCCTTTTGCTGAAGGAGCTTGCCTTCAATTTGTAAAAAACACATCTGTGAAGTGCAAAAAAGCAAAGCACAACAAAATGAGATACACCTGTAACCCAAACACTTCATTATCACCTAATGGAATGAAGGAAACAAAGTTATCCACTGATACATCTCCTTCTTGGTCACTAGATAATTCAGTTCCACGGACAAAACCACCATCCTATCTAATAGAGAAACATAGTAATTAACCGTAACTTCGCTACCCTTCCCATTGGCTAATCAGCGAGATATGCAAATTAACTGCCAACCAAGATGGCAGCCGGCAGCCTGGCAGCTGAAGCGAACAGGAGGCTTGCTTGCTCCAGTGATGGAGGAAGCCAAGGTTCCCCGCCTGCCGCTGCCAGCCTCTGAGCTTGTACTCTAAGAAACAATGTTGCAATTATAGAACCTAAACAAACCCCAGAAACCTGCTTTCAGCTGTCAGAGCTGGAGCAAGCAGGACCACAACAGTGTTACAATTATAGAACCCAAACAAACCCAGATACCTGCTTTCAGCAGCCGAGGTCTCAGAGCTAAAGCCGGCTCTCAGTTCCAGTGACAGCCATAGAAGGTAAATAAATCCCAAAATTAAAAAAAAAAGAAAAAAAGGAGAGGTTGGGAGCTTCAGTCACCCGCCAGCCTGAAAACGGCCCTCAGTCCCTCACCCAGACTAGCCAGGCACCCCAGTGGGGACCCCCACCCTGAAGGGGGTGTGACCAGCTGCAAACAGCCATCAGCCCCTCATCCAGGCTGGCCAGGCACCCAAGCGGGACCCCCACCCTGATCCAGGAAACCCTTCAGGGCAAACCAGCCAGCCCCCACCCGTGTACCAGGCCTCTATCCTATATAGTAAAAGGGTAATATGCAAGCTGACCCTAAGAGCAGAAAGACTGGGAATGACTGGTCACTATGACACACACTGACCACCAGGGGGCAGACTCTCAATGCAGGAGCTGCCCTCTGGTAGTCAGGTCGCTCTCACATGGGAGGAGCTCTGCTCAACCACAAGCCAGGCTGATGGCTGCCAGTACGGCAGTGGTGGTGGGAACCTCTCCTGCCTCCTCAGCAGCGCTAAGGATGTTCGACTGCAGTTTAGGCCTGCTCCCCGCTTTCAAGTGGACATCCCCCAAGGGCTACCGGGCTGCCAGAGGGATGTCTCATTGCCATCTTAGGCCCAATCCCCTGGGGAGCGGGCCTAAGCCAGCAGGTGGTCATCCCCTGAGGGGTCCCAGACTGGGAGAGGACACAGGCCGGGCTGAGGGACCCCCCCTCCCCCCCAAGTGCACAAATTTTTGTGCACCGGGCCTCTAGTCTATATATAAAAGCCTAAGCGACCATTGCAACCGAACGGATGACCGAACAGGCTGCGTGGGGTGACTAAGCCGGCAGGGGGATTAGTGAGGGGCAACCAAATGACCAAACAGCAGGCTGTGTGGGGCGACCAGGCCCACAGGGGGGACAGTTGGGGGTGACCAGGCCGGCAGGTGAGGCAGTTGGGGGCAACCAGGTTTGCATGGGGGGGCAGTTAAGGGGCAACCAAGCCGGTGGGGGAGCAGTTAGAGGCAACTAGGTCGGCGGGGCGGAGGGGCAGTTGGGGGTGACCAGGCCAGCGGGGGGGGGGGGGGGGGGGAAGGGCAATTAGGGTCAATCAGGTAGGCAGGCAGGTAAGCAGTTAGGAGCCAGTGTTACCGGATTGTGAGAGGGATGTCCAACTGCTGGGCCAGGATCGGGCCTAAACCAGCAGTCGGACATCCCTCAAGGGGTCCTGGAATGGAGAGGGTGCAGGCTCCATGCACAAATTTTGTACACCGGCACCTCTAAAACTAGACAGAAAAGGCTTTGTCCTAGACCAGTATGTACCAGAAGAATATTTATATTTACCTTGTGTCTACATAACCTGTAGTCTCCCCCTATTGTGAGTCCTTTTCATGGAAATCATAATGATCAAATAGAATAAAATAAAACTGACTTTCTTCACCAAACGTAAGATATTGAAAAACTCCTAAGTATATCTCCCAAGTTTTCCTTTCCCACTCATTTTTCCTTCTCCAAGCTCTTTTCATACATGCAATATGGCCAGATCAGAAGGACCAATACACTAATGGAAGGGTATTCAAAGCCAACTAAATTAGATTAGCTATGAATCAATGACTTAGAGGTAAAAGTAACCATATTTCTGTACTAAAGTTCTAAAATAATTAAAATTCCAACTCAAAAATTCAATTTTTTCCATTATCTCAAGGGTTAAACTTTTTATAATTATTATTATTATTATTTTTTTAATCCTCACCAAGGATATATTTCTTAACTGATTTTAGAGAGAGATGAAGGGAGAGAGAGAGACATCGATGTGAGAGACAAGCATCAATCGATTGCTTCCCGAATGTGGCTTGAACTGGCAACCTAGGTATGTGCCCAGACTGGGGATTCAATCTGCAACGTTTTGGTGTATGGGATAACGCTTCAGCCAACTGAGCCACCCAGTGAGGGCAAGAGTTAAACTTTTTTTAAAATATTGGATAGGTCACAAACTACAAGAAGAGAATCGACAACTGAAAAAAATTCCTCCAAAATATGAAAGGACTTAGAAACAAATGCCCATATCAGAAAAAGAAATAAATGTAAGAATATAAGATTACTGGCAAACCAGAGATGTTTTGAGATATGTGCCCAGCCTTTAGAGATTACCAAAAACTAAATACAGGAAGAAAAAAAAAGGCCAGCAGGTATTTTTCAATAAATTCTTACTTGCCAGTAAGCTTATAAATATTTCAATAGCTTATAAAAATTGCCCAAATTGGAATACCTTTTATTGGTTGAAATTACTCTGAAAAATTGCCCAAATATGAAAATGTATTAAGGGTTTCCCATAGTAACTACAGTTATGACATGGTGAAGTTCTTAAAGTCAAAGAGCCAACTGAATAATAATGCCCTTAAGTTTTCAGACTTAAATATCACTTTAAATATCACTACCACATACTCTAAGGCATAGAACTCTGGTTTCACTAAGTACTTTTATAGCAGTTCAACAAATACAAAGCTGATTCTTAAGAAAAATTATGATTTTTGCAGGTTCCCTAATTTCCATAGCATAATGTTAATAAATGCTGTCGTCATTAACAATGCCATTAATGAATCCGGTTACACATTCATGTGTGTGTGTGTGTGTGTGTGTGTGCGTGTGTGTGAGTGTAAATTTAAGAAAAGTCTGAAAGCATATCTCTATATATAATAGAGAAATATGCAAATTAACCAGGACACCGTAACAGGTCAACAGGACAGGAGGAGGTTGAGGGGCCTCTGCATGCCTGCCCTGGGGGAGGTCCTGATCAGCAGCGGCCACAGCTGCTTCAAGGGCCGGAGAGCGAGGCAGGGCCGAACTGGCGACTCCAGGTTGGGCAGCGCCGTTCAATTTAGAATCACGCACAGGGCTCCTAGTATACTATAATAGTGGTTATCTTTAGGAGGTACAGTTAAGGGTGATTTTTCTTTATTTTTTATAATTTCCTGAATTATCTAGACATTTTTCAATAAATATATACTTTATGATTAGGAATTAAACCTATTTTCATTAAGGAATGAGATATAAATGATCAGTATGCAAATAAACCAGAGTTATTAAGTCCAACAACACATATAACTATATAGCAAATCAATCTCACCTGATTCATTACACAAGGCTTTCAAGTCTGCTCCAACATATCCATGTGCACTGTTTGCTAACCGTAGCAGCTCAGCTTCAGTGAGTACATGTGGTACCTTTCGAAGCAGTTTCTGAAGTATATCTAGCCGGTCCTGAGCATTAGGAACTCCAATCTCAATCTCTTTATCAAATCGTCCAGGGCGGCGGAGTGCAGCATCCAAAGCATGAGGACGATTTGTGGCCCCAATAACTAATACCTGTCCTTCACTTCCTTCCTAACAAAATAAAATAAAAACTAATTATTCTTCTACAAGTAAAACACACACACATACACACACACACACACACACACACACTATAGGCAAGGATGGATGGATCCAACTGTCCAGGCTGCTAAGTCCTATCCCTTACACTTTTATTATTCACCCTACATTTTCCAAAGCTTAGCCTAAATGATCCCTCACCTAGTTTTCCAATACTTACCTTTCATATATCACAAGTATGTCTCTCCCACATCTAGCATCTTACCGACACTGTTCCTATGAATAATAACATATATAACACCCTATCATATAGTTATTTTAATTTAAATATTTTAATTGCCCTTTTCCCCTACTTGAAACCAGAGTTTATGGCCTACAGATTATTCAAATAGAAGAGATCTTTTATAGTTTTCAAAAAGATCTTCTTCACAAATGGACTCTATTTTAAATTTGATAATTTTTTAAATTTCTAAAAACATAGACAGCAATATAACCAACACCGGAGTACCAGCCACCTTGAATATGTATGGACTTTAACTCTCTGAGAATGAAATTATAAAGAACTATGATCATGGCCTTATGGGTGGCTAAGTTGGTTGGAACGTTGTCCCATTCTCCAAAAGGTTGTGGGTTCTATTCCCAGTCAGGGCACATATCTAGGTTGCAGGTTCGATCCCCAGTCAGGTGGTATACAGGAGGCAACCCACAGATGATTCTCTCACATTAATGTCTCTCTCTCTCTCTCTCTTTCTCTCTCCCTTCCTCTCTCTCTCAAATCAATAAAAGCATATCCTCGAGTGAGAATTTAAAAAAAAAAGATCTATGATCATGATCAGCCACCTATAGAAATTATCCAACATTCTATTCAGAAGAACCAAGTGTAACCTCACAGAGACAAATTTAACTGAAATGTGATTCAAAGAAAATTCAAACCTAACCAGTTACACTGGATGTGCCAACAGAAAATGCATGGATTATAACAAATCCACAAATTGTGAATTTAGAAGACAAAAATACGGGCCCTTAAACATCTTCAGGCTAAAACATCAATGTCACATGCTTCCATTCCTACCCAAAGGCAAGAACACCAATCCCCAGCAAGCCTTTCCCACGGGCAGAAGAAAAGGCAGCTGTGTCTCAGTAATTAAGACACTCCAACACAGTCTTACATCTGACTTCCTACTCACCAAGAATTCTAATTATAATACAGCCCTCTCTCTCTCTCTCTCTCTCTCTCTCTCTCTCTCTCTCTCTCTCTCTCTATATATATATATATATATATATATATATATATACACACACACACCTTTTGGGTGAAAATAGAGTCATCCGTAAAGCTGATACTTAGTCAGCTCAATAATTATATTTCTTATTATAAACAAACAAACTGGTACCCCGGTTTATATATCAGTCTTATGAGTGTTGTTATTGTGGGTTGTCAGTCCTCACAACCCATCTCCGAAATACTAACATTGTATTCTCCAGCTTTATAAACTGAAAACCAAACCTGAGTGAGACAAGATGATCACATTTAGATGCTGCCCCAAGACTGAGACCAGGTGGTCATCTAGCCTCCCCCAGATAGCAACCCTTGTCTTGTGTTACTCTTAAAATTACAACACATTGTTAGCAAATAATAGAGACTTAATACTAAACCTTCACGTTATTTTTGCATATTCAATTTCTACCAATAGGAAGTAAAAACCAAAAAGTTCTAATAGTCCAGTTTTTAATATGCAAAAAGAGGACCTGGAATTACATACTTTTAAAAATTTCTTTAGGTTCTAAAAAACAAGTTCTGCATAAGTGTATTCTTCTGGTAAATGACTGTCAACATTATGTATATGCCATCAGAGTGATAACAAGGTAAATTCCTTTTAAATGTTGCACAATACATTATTCTCACTTTCTTTATTTTCACTTGCCCCCAAAGAATCAATTTATACATGTGTATATAAGACTTACTCAAGAAATTTCTTTATAAATTCTCCTAAAATTTAATCACTAAATCTTTCTTATGATTTTTGTTTCAGGTTTTTAAGTTAGTAACATTTATTACAGAAGAAATCCATTGTTGTATATTATTTTACATGCTAGAAAAAATGTCAGATTATACTATCCTAGCAGTTACTAAGAAATCTGCCAAAGAAAATTATATTGTGGCCCTTTCCTCTAGTGCAGGGGTCCTCAAACTACAGCCCGCGGGCCACATGCAAATACAAATATTGTATTTGTTCCCATTTTGTTTTTTTACTTCAAAGTAAGATATGTGCAGTGTGCATAGGAATTTGTTCATAGTTTTTAAAACTATAGTCCGGCCCTCCAATGGTCTGAGGGACAGTGAACTGGCCCCCCGTTTAAAAAGTTTGAGGACCCCTGCTCTAAGTGTTTATAGCTAATATTTTTTCCTTACCCTAGAATACTCCACAATTCAAGAATTTGATAGTTTTTGCTACTATATATACACAAATGATTAAGAATCAACCCCTTCCTACACAGAATCAATACTAGTGCTATACTTACTGAACCAATACCATCCATCAGTGTTAGCAGTGAAGCTACAACTCTTTTTTCCACTTCATTCTGAGCCCCTTCTCTTTTTGGGCAAAGTGCATCCAGCTCATCAATAAAAATAATTGATGGATGCCTAAAAACAAATAAGTAAAAATGAATTCGCTAATATACATTTAATTTTTAAATTTGACATGTGACATGTCACATTTAGGATTTAGTTAATAATATTAAAGACAAAGGCAACAGGATGTTAAACTGAAAAACCTTAGATGAATTCTAGCCCAAATTATTAACTCACCAAAAGTACATTCTAGTGGATCTGCCCTCAATTAAAAGAAGAGCACTGAGAGCAGTGTACTGCTCATGAGATGAGAGTCTACGCCTAGGCAGAACTTGCCCACTAATGCCTACTGCATTGTTATGCCTCAATTCAGAAGGAGAGGCTAGAGATGTTGTCCCTGGGAACAGGTTTAAAGTCCAAGGGAGCAAAATTAGAAATGCTCTCTGTTACTTTACCTATTAAAAAAAATTACTTTCACCCTGGCTGGTTTGGCTTAGTGGATAGTGTCAGCCTGCAGACTGAAGGTTCTGGGTTTGATTCTGGTCAAGGGCAGGTACCTGGGTTGCAGGCTCAATCCCTGTTCCTGGTCAGGGACCTTATGGGAGGCAATCAATCGATATGTCTCTCTCACATGATATCAAATAACACTGCCTTGTTTCTCTCTCTGTTTCTTCCCCTCCCTTCCACTCTCTCGAAAAAAAATCAATGGAAAAATATCCTCAGGTGAAGATTAACAAAAATAATAAGTAAGTAAGTAAGTAAGTAAGTAACTTTCATGATAGTCAATGTTCCTATAAAAAGATGTGAATTCGCCCTGACCGGTTTGGCTCAGTGGATGGAGCGTTGGCCTGTGGACTGAAGGGTTCCGGGTTCGATCCCAGTCAAGGGCATGTACCTTGGTTGTGGGCACATCTCCAGTGGGAGGTGTGCAGGAGGCAGCTGATCGATGCTTCTCTCTCATTGATGTTTCTAGCTCTCTCTCCCTCTCCCGTCCTCTCTGTGGAAAACCAATAAAATATATTTTAAAAGAAAGATGTGAATTCTCTCATAAGAGGAAACCTCAACTGCCAGGAACATAACAATGACAACAAAAATATACCAAACAATAAGGTATGCCCTGGTTCTCAAACCTTCAGTATTAGCACCACAGACTACTTATTTCATCTACTATAACTAGGAAAAAAATACTTTAAAAATTGAAGTTCTTTTGATAAGAGAGCAATATTATGCTAAGTTAAATGCCAAAAAAATGATAGAGCATAGCCATATTATAAATAATATTACTTTAGACCAAGTTATAGACCATGCTCTAATGCTTCTTGTAATATAACATGGTAGACTAATTTGAGGAACAGTATTCAACAAGAATTATTGTTAAAGAGCAAAATATTTGTCCCTTTGAAACAAAGTATAACAAAATAAAGTTTTGAGCATAAAGAGCTACTATAATACAATCCTCAGGAAGTCTCATGATATCAAATAACAATGTCTTAATTCTTTTCCCTTATGTATTTTTTAATTGAGATATAATTAACATATAACATTATATTAGTTCCAGGTATACAACGTAATTTAATATTTGTATTTTGTGAAATGATCATAAGTCTAGTCATCGTGACATCTGTCGCCTTGTATAGCTACAACACTTTTTTTTTCTTGTGATGAGATCTTTTAAGAGCTACTCACTTTACAATTTTCAAATATGAAATAGTTATATTAACTATAGTCACCATCCTATACATCACATCCCCATGGCTTATTTCTTTAATAACTGGAATTTATTAGAAATAGATGAGAGAAAATGTCATTAGATTTACAACCTATTTCTAGTGCTACCACTACTAGTTTTGTACTATTCTTTCATGCTTAGTATAAAGTGCTGGTATCTCTACTTTGATTAACACAGCCTTAACTACTAATTTCAAGCAAAAAAAATACAGAATACCGCAGAGTGGCTTCAGCAAATATCTGACGTAACCTTGCTTCAGTTTCCCCATAGAATCTGTAACAAATAAAATACATTTAAGGAACAACTCTCAAACTTTCCAAATATTTCCAGAATATTTAAAATTAACTTTCCAAAATTATTTTCCAAACTTAATTTGTATATAAATGAAAGAACAAATCTAAAACATTTCAACATGTGAAACATCCAGACAGAATACTAAGCAACCATTTTTTAATTTAAGCAACCATTTTTTTAAAAAACACATTAAGCAGAGGATCTCGGGCACTGAGAGGAGGTGACCCTGCAACAGGTAACAAATCATCATTAGCCAAGATGTCTCAGCACCTGAGCCTCTAGCCTTTAAAAAGGAACCTTCCAAAGAGAAAGACTTTGGAAATGTAGGGCTCAGAGGGGTCCACACAACAACCTTATTTTGAGCTGTGAATCCAGAGCGCTTCAATATACCTATAAAACCTGCACGGCCAGTATGGCGCAGTGGTTGAGCATCAACCTATGAACCAGGAGGTTAAGGTTCAATTCCCCATCAGGGCACATGCCTTTGTGTGGGCTCAATCCCCAGTGTGGAGTATGTAAGAGACAGTCAAGCAATGATTCTCTCTCACCACTGGTGTTTCTCTTTCTCCTTCTCCCTTCCTCTCTAAAATCAATAAAAATATATTAAAAACAAGACACAAAAAATCTGTAATGGCTTTTGGATTGACAGCCCTTTCACTTTGGGTGGCTTATATTGGTTCTCTACATGTAACATAAAAGAATAAAACAGGCTTCTATGAAACTACTAATAGTGAGGAACAGTTATATGAAGAGAAAAACATCTAAATGGGATTAATAGTGCTGGTTACTCTAGATGGAGATATAACAAGGGTCCTGAAATCATCAAATGATAGACTCTATAAACGCACGACATGTTTCTTGTTTTAGAATATATTAACGAGGAAACAAGATAGCAGTTGCAACCAGATTAGTATAGTTAATTTTGTCCTTTCAAAACTGTAGCCATTATCTCATTCTTTTTCAACAGAAAGCTTCTCAACTTTATTTTTAATTAAATCCTCTTATAAAAGTGCCATGAGAATGGAAGTCATTTTTGTTAATTATTAAGTTCTATATAATAAAAGTACCCAGTGTTGTTAAATTTGCATAGTATTTTTAATATTTTAAGGTGAATTGTGAGGTTCAGTTTTCTTTTGCTGTCTGCAAAGGCAATGTTTATTTTCTACCTGGCATAGAACCTATATCTGTAGAGAAAAAGAAATAATTGTAAATTATTGCAAAGCATGCAGTCAACACTAAAGACAAATAGTTTTTGGAGTCACAGATGGCTCATATATTTTGGTTTTTCATTTCAGCTAATTTTGGTCCAGAATTTTATTTTAATTGAAAAGAAACTCCCACTTATCTACTAAAAGAAAGATTAAATGAGGGAATAATCCAAAGTAAGTGTAGTATTTCCTTAAAAAAATAAGTATGTTATACTGAGGTCTGATGTTTTTACTTGATTATAATTATTAACAATTTTAGTTTTCATAAATTAATGCTACAGTGATATGATAAACATAAGACTAAATGTTGTTAGTTATTTAAAGACCAGAACTATTCAATGAGTAAGGTCTCCTTACTGTCCTGAGTTTACCTAATATAATTTCAATCTTTCTGATAAGGATTCTGGACCTGTTTCATTTCTAGACATTTATTCCATTCTTCAAACCATTATAACTGGAGCTCAGTAATAAATCTTATCTCTGAAATTGTTTCATTATTACCAATAAAAACAGCATAGGCAGAGTTTATCATCATAATGTAAGTTTTTAATTTCTAGTACTTTATTGTGGTTTTGCAGGATACATAAAAATGCAATTATGTCTGACCTGTAGATATTAAAGAGCTCAACTAATACAGTAATCTACATGCAACTAAATTAAATCTTTACTATTGAGCCCTAAAAAAAAAGAATTTAAGAAGTATCCTCCTTTATAATAAAAGGGTAATATGCAAATTGACCAAATGGTGGAACGACCAATCACTATGAGGCACACTAACCACCAGAGGGCAGATGCTCAATGCAGGAGCTGCCCCCTGGTGGTCAGTGAGCTCCCACAGGGGGAGCACTGCTCAGCCACAAGCCAGGCTGACAGTTGGCAAGCACAGAGCACAGCAGCAGTGGCAGGAGCCTCTCCCACCTCCGCGGCAGCGCTAAGGATAGCCAACTGATGGCTTAGGTTCACTCCCCTGCAAAAGGGCACAGGCCAGGCTGCAGGAAACCCCTACCCCCAAGTGCACAAATTTCATGCAATGGGCCTCTAGTATTTAATAATATTGTTTATCCTATTAAATTATGCACACCTCCTATCATACACCATGACCAAGTAGGATTTATCCCAGGGATGCAAGGATGGTACAATATCCGCAAATCAATTAACGTGATACATCACATAAACAAACTGAAAGAAAAAAGCCACATAGTCATATCAATTGATGCAGAAAAAGCATTTGACAAAATCCAACACCCATTTTTGATAAAAACTCTCAGCAAGGTGGGAATTGAAGGATCATACCTCAAAATAATAAAAACCATATATGACAAACCCACAGCCAACATCATACTCAATGGACAAAAACTAACACCATTTCCCCTAAGAACAGGAACAAGACAAGGATGCCCACTCTCACCACTCCTGTTCGTCATAGTACTGGAAGTATTAGCCATTGCAATTAGACAAGAAAAAGAAATAAAAGGCATCCAAATTGGAAAAGAAGAAGTAAAACTGTCTTTATTTGCAGATAACATGATATTATACATAAAAAACCCTAAAGACTCCATCCAAAAACTATTAGACTTAATAAATGAATTTGGCAATGTAGCAGGATACAAAATTAACGCCAAGAAATCTATGGCATTTCTATACACCAATAGTGACCTTACAGAAAGAGAGACTAAAAAAACAATCCGATTTACCATCGCACCAAAAAAATTAAGATACCTAGGAATAAACTTAACTAAAGAGGTAAAGACCTCTACTCAGAAAACTACAGGACGTTGTAAAAAGAGATAGAGGAAGACATAAACAGATGGAACAACATGCCATGTTCTTGGATTGGTAGAATCAACATCATTAAAATGTCCATACTATCCAAAGCAATCTATAAATTCTACGCACTTCCCATTAAAATACCAATGGCATATTTCACAGACCTAGAAGGAACTCTCCAAAAATTCATCTGAAATAAAAAAAGACCCCGAACAGCTGCAGCGATCCTGAGAAAGAACAAAGTAGGTGGGATCTCAATACCAGATATCAAGCTGTATTACAAAGCCACTGTTCTCAAAACTGCCTGGTACTGGCACAAGAACAGACATATAAATCAATGGAATAGAATAGAGACCCCAAAAATCAGCCCGAACCAATATGCTCAATTAATATTTGACAAAGGAGGCAAGAACATACAATGGAGTCAAGATAGTCTCTTCAATAAATGGTGTTGGGAAAATTGGACAGATACATGCAAGAAAATGAAACTAGGCCACCAACTTACACCATACACAAAAATAAACTCAAAATGGATAAAGGTCTTAAATGTATGACGGGAAACCATAAAAATACTAGAAGAATCCAAAGGCAACAAAATCTCAGACATATGCCGAAGCAATTTCTTCACCGATACAGCTCCTAGGGCATTGGAAACTAAAGAGAAAATAAACAAATGGGACTACATCAAAATAAAAAGCTTCTGCACAGCAAAAGAAACCATCAACAAAACAACAAGAAAGCCCACTGCGTGGGAGAACATATTGGCCAATGTTATCACAGATAAGGGTTTAATCTCCAACATTTATAGGGAACTCATACAATTTAACAAAAGGAAGATAAACAATCCAATCAAAAAATGGGCAAAGGACCTAAATAGACACTTTTCAAAAGAGGACATTCAGAAAGCCAAGAGACATATGAAAACATGCTTAAAGTCACTAATCATCCGAGAGATGCAAATCAAAACAACAATGAGGTACCATCTCACACCTGTCAGATTGGCTATCATCAACAAATCAACAAACGACAAGTGCTGGAGAGGATGTGGAGAAAAAGGAACCCTCGTGTACTGCTGGTGGGAATGCAGACTGGTGCAGCCACTATGGAAGACAGTATGGAGTTTCCTCAAAAAACTAAAAATGGAACTCCCATTTGACCCCGTGATTCCACTTCTAGGAATATATCCCAAGAAAACAGAAACACCAATCAAAAAGGCTATATGCACCCCTATGTTCATAGCAACACAATTCACCATAGCAAAGATCTGGAAACAGCCTAAGTGCCCATCAGTAGATGAATGGATTAGAAAACCGTGGTACATCTACACGATGGAATACTATGCTGCTGTAAAAAAGAAGGAATTCTTACCATTTGCAACAGCATGGATGGAACTGGAGAGCACTATGCTAAGTGAAATAAGCCAGTCAATGAAGGAAAAATACCACATGATCTCACTCATTCATGGATAATAAAGACCATTATAAACTTATGAACAAAAATAGATACAGAGGCAGAGTAGCCTTGAACAGACTGTCAAACTACAGCAGGAAGGCCGGGGAGGGTTGGGGGGTGGGAGGGGGGGATAAGAGATCAACCGAAGGACTTGTATGCATGCATATAAGCATAACCAATGGACATAAGACACTGGGGGGTAGGGGAGGCCAGGGGATTATCAAGGGCGGGGGAAAAAGGAGACATATGTAATACTCTTTGTAATACTTTAAGCAATAAAACAATTAAAAAAAATAAATTATGCACCTACTTGCTTATAATTTCAGGACCATTTATTACAGAGACATAGGCTCCAACTTCATTAGCAATAGCCCTGGCAATCATTGTCTTTCCAGTACCTGGAGGGCCATACAGTAACACTCCTCTAGGGGGAGGAATTCCTAGAAGAAAAAGAAGAGAACACTGGATTCAGCATTACTAGGTTTCTTGTAAGTGTTGTCATATGACTTAAAACATGAGTTAAAAGTATAAATTTACCTTGCATCACAAAGTAAAGTTAAGAGTCAGATCTTCCTTATTCTGCCCGAGAAGACGTATAACTAGACCAAACACTGACTTCCAGCAATGACTGTTTCTCTCTCTATAGATCCAACCTGTCCGGGCACTTTGGTAAAAAACTGGCTGGACACTGTTGTCATGCCCCATTCCACATTATCAAAACAAAGTCCAGACAACAAAAAGCTCATAAAGCAAGCCACCAATCCCAATTTTCAGCATACATGCATTCCTAGGGAAATGTCAACCCAAGGGTTCATTTTATATACATACTAGAGGCCCGATGCACAAAGATTCGTGCAAGAAAGGGCCTTCCTTCCCCTGGCTGCTGGCACCACCTTTGCTCCGGCCCAGAGCCATCTTTCTGCCTTTGTTCTGGCCTGGAGCCACCTTTCCACCTTCCCATGCCGCCCAGAGGCCCGAAGGGGCTGGGGCGGTGCGGAACGCCTGCATCCCGCCCCACCCCTGGCCACTTGGTGCCTGCATATGCAAATTAACCTGCCATTTTTGTTGGGTCAATTTGCATACTCACTCCTGATTGGCTGGTGGACCTCGTGAAGGTATGGTCAATTTGCACCTTTCCCTTTTATTAGTGTAGATAAAGGTTCATAAAAGAGGGAAAAGCAGAGAAAGAGATAGTATGCACCAAATATATGCAGAGAATTGGGCAACAACCACACAAAGGAAACCTTGAGTTTCCTAGGAACCAAGTCAATGCAGATATCTGCACACAGCTACATTTCCTGAGAAGTTTCACCCAGCATATCTGAATGTTTGGCTTATTTCTTTACTCATTACAGCTGATCTAACCTGACAAGAAACTTATTCTAGATACAATACAAACAACTGTGAAAGTATGCAATTAACACATTGTTTGCGGGTAGTTTTTATCGCGCGCTAACAGGTGGCGCGGGCCATTTTTGCTAATTTTTTGCGCAAATGGCAAAATTACGATAACTTTAGTTTACATATTTATACGTTACCCGCATTCTACCACTAGTCTATAAAAAACGTATTAATACGTGTCCCGCGCTCTACTACACTGGTAGAACATATAAATACGTAAAACGTATAAATACGTTTCCCGCATACAATGTGTTAAAAGAAACAAGGCTATAACTAACTCATTACAACCTAAGAACATCTCACTTAATTGGCATTTCCCAAAGCAACTCACACCTCCTACCATACCTACCACTCAGGAAAGAAAAATAGGAAAAGAGGGTGAGCAATTATTAGATAAGTGGAATGAGCTAACTTTTTGAGTTTGAATTGAATACTTTTGGGTACAATACAATGAAGAAATCATACCATAGCTCTTGAATAGTTCAGGCTGCTTGAGAGGAAGTTCAATTATTTCTCTAATTGCTTTCAGCTGACCATTTAAGCCTCCTATCATGTCGTAAGTTACTTTGAACTGGTTGCCTTGCTCTTTTGATTTTGCACCAATTTTTGTAAAATTGACTCTCGTTGTTGAAGAAATGAAGTAGAAAGTATCAGTGTTGCACTTTGCTCCCAGATTGGCTGGCTTTAGGAATCTCTCTTCATTGATAAGGTACTCATTTCCTCCTCTGGCAGACGCAAAGCTACATTCAAGACCTGTAACTTCCTCTGGCCCAAGCCCAATGCTGCCACCAGGACTCTGTGTGACATTTGACAAACTGTCACCAGTTTTATTTATCTTTTTGTCATCTACTGGTTTGCAGGGAGTACTGCTTGATGGTGGGACCCGAGGCTCTTCCAGATCCAACTGGCTTAACTGTAAGGACATATCGAGGGTACTGGCTTCTATGCTGGATCGTTTTGAGGCCATTCCCTGAGCATCAGTATCAGAGTCACTCTGAAGCCTTTTCAGTATCATGCCATCTGCACCTTTCACTCGCAACACTTGCAACATGCATGGTCGTCCATAGAATGTAATGTATAGAAAGTTGCCTGGTAAAACAATCTTGTCATCTAGAAAATAATTTATCGAATATATATATTAGCACAAGTTTTCACCCATTTAATGTTTAAATAGCATTTGTTTTATCAATTAACAATCTACCTGACTGAAAAGACTAAATCAAAGAAGGCAGTATTAATAAAATAACTGCCATGAAAAATAAAGGCCCTAATATTCCCCTAATAAGGGAGCACTATCTGGAGATCAAAGAAAAACAAGATGATTCTCTGAAATGGGGAAGATTCTATCAACTACATTAACAAATAGCCAGACAATCTATCCTAATATATAAAAAGCCTGGGTTGTAACGACCGGTCACAACCGAGGCTTGACCAACCAGAAGTCAGTCCTGCAGTCAGTGCTGGGTTGCCATGGCAGCCAGTGCTGGTCATGATGCCCCAGCACTGATTGCTGAGGGGGCTGTGAATCAGGGCCAGAGAGAGGCCTGAAGAGAGAAGTAGGGACTGATCCATTGCCTCTGTGGCAGCTTTTGATCAGCACTTGCCTCTCTCTTTCACTCCCAGTCTGGCCAGCAGCCACGCCTCCATTTCTCTCCAGGCTTCCACCTGGACTGCTGATCAGCCCGCCTTTCTGATCAGGTCCCGTTGATAGGCCCAGAGACACTGACTGGCATAGGAACCGGCCAATCAGAACAGAATCTGGGTGCTATGAGGAGCAAATGGCTGCCTAAGAGGCAGAGCTTTTGACGTTGATTGACATAGGAACCGACCAATCAGAACCAAATGTGGGTGCTGTAAAGAACCAATTGCTGTCTAGGAGGCAGAGCTTTTGATGCTGACATAGGAACCAACCAATCAGAACCAAATTGGCCAGCAGAGGAGAGCAGTTTGGAACGAGATCAGGCCGGCAGTGGAGGGCTGTTGGGCACGAGATCAGGCGGCAGAAAAGGGCAGTTGGGGCAACTGGGCTTGCAGAAGAGGGCAGCTGGGGGCTAGATCAGGCTGGCAGGTAGGGCCATTGGGGGCAAGATCAGGCCAGCAGGGGAGGTCAGTTAGGGGTGATCAGGCAGGCAGGCAGGCAGAGGCAGTTAGGGGCGATCAGGCAGGCAGACAGGTGAGCAGTTAGGAGCCAGCGGTCCCACAGGGATTAGGCCTAAACCGGCAGTCGGACATCCCCCAAGGGGTCCCCAAATGGAGAGGTTATAGGCTGGGCTGAGGGAACCCCTCCCCCTGTGCACAAATTTCGTGCACCAGGCCACTAGTGTTTGATAATAAACTAACCCAAAATGGCACACTTAAACCAACAAAACAATATAACATTTCTCATTGGAAAGAGCAAGAGCTCAAGGATTCAAAGTCTCGGTTCTCCCAAGGACTTTGTCCACAGACACGCTGTATATTCTCTCTGTTGCTCAACTGCCAATCAATTAATTGGGGAAAAGAATCCCACATCCCTATCTTAATAGGACATTAATTCATTGAGAATAGTCTCTATGCTGTTTTGAAGAAAACTATCAAGTAGACAATACTTCAAAGACACATTGCCGTATATGCTGCTGCCTTGCTTCTTAAAATTTAAAAAAATATTTAAAATATGTCTCACCTAGTTTTCTCAGAAGACAATCAGCCAATTGTTCTTCATTAATATCCACATTTTTGTCACTGTAAAGGTTTGGGGTGGGGAAAATAGAAATAAACATTAAGTACACCAGAAATTTAAATCTAATATAACACATACATAGTTGTAATGCAGACCTAATGAAAAGCATAATTAGTTTACAACCTGGAAATGATCTACACAATTTTGGAATGACTTACAAATTTCAGCTAGTTCTTAAAGCCATAAAAATCTCATTTATAGTTTGATGTCCTAGTGGCATAAATCAATGTTCTTCAAATATAGGGTACTTCCCACAAGTGGATCATAATCATTTGTCAATCCTACCCAGCATTTTTTTAATAGAATACAAATGTCAGAATATATCAAACGTAGAAAGGTTAAATATTGCTTTGTAAGACATTATTACACACAAACATCTATACACTTGTTCTATACAAGTACATGTTGCATATGTGTACTCTATGTATATATGATAGATGTGTATGTACAATGAACTACAATGAAAAATGTTTATTCTTTGTCAATCAGAAACATTTGAAATGCTGACCATCATTAACCCCTTACCAAACTTGCCTAGCTTGGCGAAGGGCTTTTATTAATAACTTAATGTATTTCCTTTGTATAATTTATAAATTATCTTCCAGAAAAAATAAACCCTATATTGTACTTTATCTGAAGAGGTAGAAATAAGTAAAAGGAGAGTGGTACAATGAAAGTTTATTCTAGAGATAGGGCATGCCTAAGAAAAATGGGAACCCTTTTTTGACTGATAACTATGTCTGCCAGGAAGGACACTTGTTTGAGTACAGGAAGCAGGCAACCCTAAAAATCATGGCACTTGTACAGAACCATGTCCTTGGAGAAGATGTGCATTTTTCCTCCTTCTCCATTTGTAAGCAGCCCACGTGACCTTCGGTTGTGAACTCTGCCAGACATCAGTAGACCCTTCCACTGATCGAGCCCAGTGAAAGCTGTTTTAGCAGGCTTTTCTGGGTCAGATCTAAGCCATGTCCTCAACTTTCTCAGTAACAAAACCAATACAGTTGATCTTCATTATTTACAGTTTCCATATGTGCAAATTCACCTACTTGCTAAAATTTATTTGTAACCCCAAAACCAGTATTAGCAGAGGATTCCCAGTCATTCATGGATGTGCACAAAGTAGGCAAAAAATCTGAGTCGCACGACACCTTCTTCTTTCAACTCTCATCACAGATGACCAGAGGATGGCAACTGGAGATGATGGGGAACAGTGCAATGTATAGTGAAAGTTCCAGCTCTGGGACCTCACTCTGGCAGCTGTTAGTGACATGGCCTCACTTCTGAACTACCTCTTCTCTTTTGTAAAATAAAGAAAATAGGATATACCAGGATGAGTTGTTTTAAGGATTTAATATTATAACCTATATAAAATATATATACTTGCATATTTATATCTATATATGTTAAATATACACACATGCACACACACACACACACTCCTAGGAGCAATGGTTCAGTATTTGCTAATTCAGTTTTGGGGACAATTTTGTAGGACACAATACCACAAATAATGAGAATCGACTGTGTGTTCATGTGAGAAAGAGAAATACCAGGAAAAAATTTAATGAATCAAATGTATATATAAACTAAAGAGGAAATTATATGTATCCATAAATGCTTAAACTTACTTGTTACTAGAACTCTGAACCTAGTTATACTTAAATTGTTTCCATTTATTAAAGTCTGAATAGGAGATATTTATAATATGTACAAGAACAGCAAAAACAACCAGTTTTGCTTTTATAAATGAATATGTGCAAATAAAATCATTTCCACTAGAAGGAGCTCTAAACTTACTAATGAAATGTTTTAGCTACAGCACAACAGAAGGATTTAAGCAGCAGATTAAAATTAATGATTTTTCTTACTGGAAATTTTCTTGTCTAAGCTCTTCTTGCTGCCACGTTTAAAACAAAAGATTTTTTTTTAAATAAAAAGTTTAAAACCAAGCTTCCATGGAAAACCTATATATTCCCTCCATAACAGGAAATCATTATCACCTAAGAGTGCTATGCCCTCAAGAGTGATCAACGAAACTCCAGTCAAATGAGTGCTGTGCCTGCAGCCCTGTTTGAAGTCAGTCTGGAGAAGAATCCTGTGCAATCCGAGCAGTAGCTCTAACCAACCCACACAAGAGCGAGCAAGTTCCTGCCTTCTCACTGAGCCCATTTCCTCATCTGGGAAAAGGGGTGGGTAAAGATACCTTGCAGGATGTTTAGAGGGTTAAGTGGGGAAAAAAAGGAAAGATGTGTGCATGCATATGTATGTGCTAGTACACAGCTGGTGCTCAACACATGTTATATTTCTTTTCCTTTCTGCTTTTCATCATTTGTTAAATGTTTGTTAAGTGCTTTGAAAACATTTGTCTGTTTTTAAAGAAAAAAAATATGCCAAAGCTCAGGCTTGGCATCTATAAAAGTAGCAAAAGAGAAGAAAATATTTTAAAATCAAGCTAGATTGGAAAATGTTCTGTGATTCTTACATTAATATAAACATCAGTCCCCAACTGTTACTAGGGTCATATTAAAATTTCAAAAGATGCTTTTTAAAAACAAATTTCGATAAGATTTTTACATGCAAACTGAATCAAAATCCTATTAGATACAGAATACCCAAGAGGATGGGAGATATGCTTTAATTATATTGATATGCTGCTTCAAATAACTAGACTTTGGTGAGGGGATATTTAAAAATCTGATAGAAATAACTCTCTCACTAGATTGAATAATCAATGAGTTAAAATATACAATCAGCCCAGCCGGAATAGCTCAGTGGTTGAGCATCGACCTACGAACCAGGAGGTCATGGTTCGATCCCCAGTCAGGACACAGATGAGCTCGATCACCCAGTGTGGTGTGCAGAAGGCAGCTGACCAATGATTCTCTCGCATCATTGATGTTTCTATCTCTCTCTTTCCCTCTCCCTTCCTCTCTGAAATCAATAAAAATATATTTTACATACACACACACACACACACACACACACACACACAATCAGGTACTTTGCTTGGCAGCCTTAATTAAAATTTATTTCTTGCCTACTCACAGTAGCCTACTCCTTTCTTTATAGCTGTAAAAAAGACAAGAAGCCCTGAGTAGTATACTGCAGACCAAGATGAAAAACATAGTTACATACCCATTAGCAATAATTCTCTCACCTAAAGTGTCACGGCACACTCTAATCAGAGGAACGAGAGAGTCCCTAGCCCTAAGTTACATAGCACTCGTCTAGCTAGCACTGTGTAATACAGGAGGCAACTAGCCAGTCACATGTGGCCAGTCCAAACTGAGATGTGCTATAACTATAACACACTAGTACACACTGGATTTTGAAGACTTAGTTTAAAAAACAGATATGAAAAATATCTTATTAATAGTTTATAGTTATAAGACTTTACTCACATTAATTAAATAAAATATATAATTATAATTAATTTCTTTACTTTTTAAATGTGATTACTAGAAAAGGTAAAATTACATATGTGGTTCACACTTATGACTTTCATTATATTTCTGCTAGGCAACATTGATTCAGTCACCAAAGAAAAGAGCCAAACCTGAGCGCCACGTCCATTTCCTCAGCCTGTATCACAGCACCCAAAAGAGGCTGGACATGGATGGCATCACCAACTCTGACACCCATACTCTTCTGTGCTGTGTCACTCAGGCCAACCTTGCCTCCAGGAAATCCTGATACAGGCCAGGCCACACAGACCTGCCAGGAGAGATAATAAACATTCACAGAATATCAGTAATTTATAAAGCAGAAAATTAAGCATAGCCAAGTACATGGATCTGCCAGCCCCCAAAGGGGTTACAATCTGACACAAGTTACAAAAAAAAAGTTTTATACATATTACATTTTTTGCAAAGATCAGAAATGACCCCACAGTGAAAATGGTGAAAGATCTGAGAGGTGGGGTTAGAAAAAGAGACCAAGGTGAGAAGAAAATGAGATAAAATCCAGAAGGCAAGCTGACTATCAGGTAACCCAGCCTAGAGCATAAACTACACCCAAGAAATAGTAAGGACCCCAGCACCAGAGTTCCAGGGAACATGGACCTCATCAGACAAATGTAAAGTTCCAGATAGAGGCTGAGTTCATATATTTAGTGCCTTCTTGTCCACAAGACACAGTAAAGTTTTTAAAAATATAAGCCCAGAACTATGAAAAGAATGGGAGGTGTGACACCAGCAGATAAGAGATTTCAAAACCTTTCCAGAGAGCCCTAGTGGATGAGAGAACACTGAGTAATGAAGTAGAGAAGATATGGCAGAGGTAGGGGCAGGGGCCGGCAGCAGAGAAGAAAGCCAAGCTGCTGAAAACACCAACAAGGAGAAACACAGCTGAAACCAGGGAGGGTAATCAAATGTTGTATAAAAAAGAGATGACTTCATACCCCAAAACAGTATTTCTGTAGAGAAAAGTAACAGACTGGGAAGGCCTCCCAAGGAAAGGTCTCTCTCTCCATTATGACATTTAGGACTATATTCCCACTGTAATCATAGACACCAAAGGAGGGGAAAGTTTACATTGGTGTGAGGGTCTTTAAAATATAGTTTTTCATTTTTCCCTGCTTGTTCTGAAAATTACAATTTAAAAAAAAAAACAACTCTCAAATCTTTCCAAACTAAGTAAATGACAAGGACTCTTACCTCTTGTTTTCCATGTAAACTGGTAAGCAGCACTGGTCGGCCAATTATTATATTTGCAGACTTCATAGTGCCAAGTCCGAGTTGAGCAAGGGAATTCTGGAACTTTTTAGGAACTCTGTCATCTACCAAGAAGCAAAAAAAAATGATTTTGTACTATTTTGTCACTGAAGTTAAGGCATGCTTTCTTTTGAAGGCAATAAAAATCCTTTATCCACATAACCACATGAATACACTTGCTGTACCCTGAAGAAACCACTGTAGCAACCCTTACTTTAACAAATAAACTTAAAACCAAATCTTTTGAGGATCCAGACAATATGAGTGCTAACTAAAAATTAAAAATTAAAAAGTTGTTTTATGGAGTAGGTATTAGTTTTCATTATTTAAAAAAAAAGTCTTGCGGGGAGAAACCAAGATGGCGGCATAGGTAAACACCGGAGTTTGCTGCCTCGAACAACCACTTCAAAAATACAACTAAAAGACGGAACGCTCATCATCCAGAACCACAGGAAGGCTGGCTGAGTGGAAGTTCTACAACTAGGAGGAAAGAGAAAAGCATATTGAGACTCAGAGGAGGCGCAGTGCTGAAGTAAAATACTAAGGTGCGGAGTGCATGTGGAGCCAGCTGGCGGCTGAGGGCGTGGTTGTTGTTTTCAACCAGGAGGGAGTCTCAGGCTCTGAGCTCCAGTTCCGGGCGAGTCTCTAGGGACCCAGACTCATACAGGAGAAGCGGGACTGTCTCGCATCGCTCAGAACCCTAGGGCAGCTTTCTCTCCGCGGGGCTTGCAGCGATTACTGGGACACTGGGAAGCAGAGCCTCTGAGGGCAAGACTGAGAGCAGCCATAATTGCTAACCCCGCCCTGTTGATCCCCTGGGACCCACCCCGCCCAAGCCCTGCAGGGAGACTTTTGCTGGATAGCCTCAGGCAAAGGCTAGATTAGCACCTCCCTAGAGATCCAGGAGCCAGGAAGCCCAGAGGTCAGAGTGGGACCATCCAGTTTGCAGCTCCGTGGAACCATAAAAGACACTCTCAGGGGGCAGACTCAGTGAGCACCAAAGTCCCATCGAAGCAAGTCTAGCCCCAGAGGGGTGTCTCCAGCACAGAAGTTCTCCCACTGCAGACACAGCTGCTTCTCACAGCCAATTGGCCTGGAGGTCAATTCCTCCCAGTGATACAACAACCAAGGCTTAACTACAACAAGACTGTGCACAAAGCCCACAAGGGGGTGCACCAAGAGTGTCCACCTCAGGTAATTGGGGAGGCTGAGCCACTGAGCCCTATAGGACACCTAGCACAGGAAGCCGCTCTATCAACACAGGGAAGCATAAAAAATGCGGAGACAAAGAAACAGGTCACAAATGACAGAAATGGAGGAAAGCAAACTACTGGATATAGAGTTCAAAACCACACTTTTAAGGTTTTTCAAGAATCTTCTAGAAACCACCGATAAACTTAGTGAGACACTCAAGAAATCTAGTGAGACCGCTGATAAATTTAATGAGATCTTCAGTAAGTCCAGTGAGACCCTCAAAGTTGTGAAAAAGGACCAACTAGAAATTAAGCATACACTGATTAAAATAATATTATACAGACTCCCAACAGCAGACTACAGGATCACAAGAATCAAGTCAAAGATCTGAAATACGAAGAAGCAAAAAAACACCCAACCAGAAAAGAAAAAAGAATCCAAAAATATGAAGATACTATAAGGAGCCTCTGGGACAGCTTCAAGCGTACCAACATCAGAATTATAGGGGTGCCAGAAGATGAGAGACAGCAAGATATTGAAAACCTATTTGAAGAAATAATGACAGAAAACTTTCCCTACCTGGTGAAAGAAATAGACTTACAAGTCCAGGAAGTGCAGAGAACCTCAAACAAAAGGAATCCAAAGAGGACCACACCAAGACACATCATAATTAAAATGCCAAGAGCAAAAGACAAAGAGAGAATCCTAAAAGCAGCAAGAGAAAGAAACACAGTTACCTACAAGGGAATACCCATACGACTGTCAGTTGATTTCTCAACAGAAACTCCGCAGGCCAGAAGGGAGTGGCAAGAAATATTCAAAGTGATGAATACCAAGAACCTACAACCAAGATTACTTTACCCAGCAAAGCTATCATTCAGAATTGAAGGTCAGATAAAGAGCTTCACAGATAAGGAAAAGCTAAAGGAGTTCATCACCACAAAACCAGTATTAAATGGAATGCTGAAAGGTATCCTTTTAAGAAGAGGAAGAAGAAAAAGGTACAGATACAAATTATGAACAACAACTACACATCAACAAGTGAATCTAAAAATTAGCCGAAACCGGTTTGGCTCAGTGGATAGAGCGTCGGCCTGCGGACTAAGGGGTCCCAGGTTCGATTCCGGTCAAGGGCATGTACCTGGGTTGCGGGCACATCCCCAGTGGGAGATGTGCAGGAGGCGGCTGATCGATGTTTCTCTCCCATCGATGTTTCTCTCTATCTCTCTCCCTTCCTCTCTGTAAAAAATCAATAAAATATATTTTAAAAAAATAAATAAATAAAATAAAATAAAAAAATTAAAAATCAAGTGAATAAATAATCTGATGAACAGAATAAACTGGTGATTATAATAGAACCAGGGGCATAGAAAGGGAGTGGACGACTGACTATTCTCTGGGGTGGGGGGAAGGGTGTGGGGGATGCAGGAAGAGACTGGACAAAAATCGTACACCTATGGATGAGGATAGTGGGGGGTGGGGGGGCCAGTAAGGGCAGAGGGTGGGGTGGGAACCAGGTGGAGGGGAGCTATGGGGGGAAAAAAGAGGGACAACTGTAATAATCTGAACAATAAAGATTTAATTTTTAAATAAATAAATAAATAAATAAATAAATAAATAAATAAAAGTCTTGCCCTGCTTTGGCTCAGTGGATAGAGCATCGGCCTGCGGACTGGAGGGTCCTGGGTTCGATTCCAGTCAAGGGCACATGCCCACGTTGTGGGCTTGACCCCCCAGTGGGGGGCGTGCAGGAGGCAGCTATCAATGATTCTCTCATCATTGATGTTTCTCATCTCTCTCTCCCTCTCTGAAATCAATAAAAATACATTTAAAAATATAGATAGGTAAATAGGCAGACATCCACTGTCCCCAGTAACTGACGTCATGCTTATTGAGCACTTATGTGCCAGACTGACTAATGAGACAGTAAAAGTAATTTTACAAAACCATCCAGGTTTCACTCGGTCATTCATCAAATCTTTACTATAGGACAGATACTACACTAGACACTGGGGATTCAGAAGTAGACACAGTCCTTGGCTTTTTCTAACTGATAATCTAATAGGATAACAGAGTTATAAACAGTCACTGAGCCCTAGCCAGGTGGCTCAGTTGGTTGGAGCATCATATAGTACACTGAAACGTTGCTGGTTTGATTCCAGTTCAGGGCACATTAACTAGGTTGCAGGTTCCATCCCCCGTTGGGGCCCATATGAGAGGCAACTAAGCGATGTTTCTCTCGCTCACATTGATGTTTCTTTCTCTCTCCTTTCCTCTCTCTCTAAAAATAAATTTTTAAAAGCATATTCTCAGGTGAGGATTTTTTTAAAAAAAACACTGAATAACTGCATAGTTATAAACAAAGATTAATGCAATAAAAAAAATGACACAGAGTGCTAGAAAGCCTTTAATGTGGGATCGGATCTCATCTGAAGAATAAGAGAAAGCTTCTTCAAGGAAATATTGCTTCAATTCAGATTTGAAGGAAGAGTAGGAATTAACTAAATGAAGAGGAAAAAAGATAATTCTGAGCAGAGAACAACATGTCCAGAGATCGTGGGCAGAAGCGAGTTCTGTGCATCAGAGGGAAGAGGACAGGCAGAGGGAGTGGTGGGAGACAAGCCATGCAAGGAAAGTCAAGACCATTCAGGGCAGCAGGTGATATCAAGTTGCTGGTCTTTACTCTAACAGCAACAGAGGACTGAGGGGTGAAATGAGGGTTCATGATAGGATCTTCATTTCAAAGACCATTCCAGCTGCAGAGCAGGAAGTAAGTGGAAAGGCTGGTATAGTAAGCAGTCCAGGTGAGAGAGGATAAGTGTCTGGATTATGGCGGAAGCAATGGAACAATGGAACAGAGTGAAAAACAGCAATGTGGGAAATTTTTAGGTGATAAGCAGGACTTGGTGGTGGACTGAATATTGGAGACGAGAGGTGTCATACATGACTCCTAGGTTTCTGAATGAGTTCTTGAGGTCAGTCTTGAAATACCTTTGAAAAATCCAAGAGAAGAGATATAATACAGTGCTATTTAAACTGTAGTTGGAAAACTATTTGCTTCTGGTTCCTGATAAGCACAGAAAATGAGAATAAATGTTTAAAAGCTTTTATTTTTATTTTTAATATATTTTTATTGATTTCACAGAGGAAGGGAGAGGGAGAGAGAGAGAGAGAAACATCAATGAGAGAGAATCATTGATTGGCTGCCTCCTGCATGCCCCACACTGAAACCCAGGCATGTGCCCTGACCACAAATTGAACCCTGACCTCAACCACAGGTCGATGCTCAACTACTGAGCCGAGCCAGCCGAGCTTATTGTATTTTAAAACTGTGCTGATCTGTGGCATATCTTAAATTTTAAAACCTTTCCTGTAGAGTTGGAAAAGCATTGGTCTAGAGCAGCAATTTTCAACTAGCCTGCCCCAAGAATTTTTAAAGCATGCAATGCCTACTTAGTCAGGGGCACTGAGCTCTTTTCCCTAGATTGTCAAATTTTAAAAAAATGACAACAGCCAACCCAACAATAGCTGTCCGGTGTGAATGAATCAAAATTATATCGATTTTTTGGTCAGACTGGCGAAAAACATATTTTCGGTATGCGGAAGAATTTCAATTAATTATGTGTGCCATGAGATGAAAAAGGTTGAAAAACACTGGTCTAGAGGACAAGTAAATCAAGACTGAGAAATAGTATAAACTAGAAATATAAATCTGAAAAGGCGGAGGGCATAGATGGGTAAACTCTGGGCAGTGAATAAACCTGCCAAAGAAAGATTTATAAAGACAAGAGGAGCTTTAGGACTGAGAACTAAGGAACTTCAACTTTTTTTAATCCTCGCCGTAGGATATATTTGATTAGGGAGTGACAGAGAGAGAGAGAGAGAGAGAGAGAGAGAGAGAGAGAGAGAGAAAGAGAAAGAGAGGGGGGGGGGGAAGGGCGAGAGGGGGGAACACGGATCATTGCCGGGACCAGAAATGGAGCCCACACCTCTTGGGGTGCAAGACAACGCTCCAACCAACTGCACCCGCCGGGCAGGCGAGGAATTCCGCCATTTGGAAGATGAGCCTGGAAAGGAAACCGACCAAGCACCAACCAGAGGGCGAGGGGAAACTAGAAAAGCCTGACGAGGCGTCAAATGAAGTCAAGTGCTTCCAGGTGGAGGACATGGTGGCTTCCTGGCCGAAGCTGCGGGGAGGTCAAGCGCGGTCAGCCGCCCAGGCAGCTCCGGGGGACGTGATGGAGGTCGAGGGGGCACAGCCCCGGGCAGAGCGGCCTCAGGACCGGAGGGGGGGGGGGGCGAGGGGGGCGGGGAGCGCACTGAAGCGGACGGGAGGACCCGCCTGGGGACAGGACGCGCTGTTCCCCGCCCGCCCCCGGGAGGCAAGGACTCTGGGACGAGCGCTTCGCTCTGGGGCTGCCTGTGGGGTCCACGGGGGACAGAGTCCTCCTGCCCCCGCTTCACTCCGCCCCACTCTCCAGGGCTTGGCCGACCAACGACCTTTCAGGCAAACCCGTCCTCCCAGCTCCTGCGAGCTGCGACCTGCGCTCGAACGTGCAGCTGAGGAATCTACAGAATGGGCACAGTCCACCCCGCACCCGCACCCCAGGGCGTCCGCGGGGACTACACCTGCCGGGGACACGCAATGGACGCAGAGCCCGTGCGGTCGTGCACGCAGCGGCCACCTTTCCGCCCCGAAGGCGCAGGGGCGCCACTCAGCACGGGTGTCCGCGTATCTTGACAGAACTGGGCTCAGTGTGGCGTCCTCTAAGCAGGCTAGGCAGGCGCAATGTGCCGCTAAATATGTCGTCCATCTTTGTCAATGTCCCCAGTGCAACTTGGCAATTCCAGGCAACTTACAAAAGGGGCGGTTGAGTCAGTCACGGAAAGGGCACTCGTGCCCGGCCCGGGGCGCGCGTGGCCCCGAGCCCTCACACCCCGGCCTCGCCCACCCTCCCCAGCGCCGCGCCTCCAGGCCCACCGCCTGGTCTCCGTCCCCTCAGGTGGCGCCCCCTCCGCCTCCGGCCGCCCTCCCAACCGCTCTCACCCTTTTCTAGGAAGTTGATCACCGCCAGGGTCCCAGTCGCCGCCGCGAAACCGGCTTCGGGACAAGCAGCCGAGGCCCCCGCCGGAGAGCGAGCCGTGGAGGGCGAGGGCGAACCCCGGCCGGAGCTCCGGCCGGAGCTCCGGTTGGACCGTCTTCTATTCTTCTTGGAAGACATGCTCCACAGGCAGCCTGGAAGCTGAAGCAAGTGAAGCCGGCTCAACGTGCGCGCTTTACTGTGGGAAAAACTTCCGGGGCAGAAGTCAGCGAGGCTCCGCCCCCCCCCCGCGCCGAAATTCCCAGAGTGAAGCGCAAGGGTGAGGCAGGGAAACCAACCGTCTTCAGAACCTGAGGGCTTTGAAGAGGTCGGAGAGGCTTTTCTGTAAAGAAAACGGATTAGGTGGATGGAAGCGTCCCTTAGATTGCACATTCCTGAAAGACAGGACTTTTTCGTAACCCATTCGTCTTCCCCATCACTGAATTAAACTATTGTGGGGAGGGGAACAGTGGAGGGAAAGTTTCTCCCCGTTTTCCTGGAGCCGGGCACACTCCTGAGAGGAGCCGGTGGACCGGACTTTGAGGTCTCCTGGGTACAGCGCTGCAAAGTGGTTAAGCCCAGCTCAACTCTGCGAAGTGCGTGCGACTCTCTTCTCGGGTTTACGGTAGCGCCTGGGCGGGGCGCTTTGGGGGCGAGGCGAGCGGCGCCTGGGCGGGGCGCTTTGCGGGCGAAGCGAGCGGCGCGCGTGGGCCGGCGCGGGGATGTGGCCTCTGCCGCGTGGGGGCTACCTGCGCGCGCTGCTGGCCGGGGCCCGAGGCGCCGAGCTCTCGGCTGCGCCCCGCAGGGCCTCGGGCGGCTTAAGTGGTGCGCGGGACTCCCCCGCCGAAGCCGGCTGGCTGCGGGGCGAAGTGGACCGATTCGGGGGCGTCTCGGTGCGGCTGGGCGCCCTGGATCGCCTGGACGCCGCCGCCTTCCAGAGGGGCCTTCATGGCAAGTTCCTCGGCCGAGGGTCCCGGGCTCCCCGGGTCGCGTCGAAGTCACCGGGACCCACACGCCTCCGCCTGTCGGGCACCGAGCCTGGAGGGCGCGCGTGACCCGTCCCGCCTCCCTGGTTCCCGGGCCCTTTGCTGGGAGGTCTCCGGAACGGTTGGGGGGGGACAGTGGTGACGGTCACAGGCTCTGGGATCAGCAGCCCGAGTTTCTGGCCCACCTTCTAGCGTGTGACCTTCACCTTCGGCAGGTCCCGTAAACCTCCATTTCCTCTTTGGTAAAACCGGGTCATGGCTGCGCCTGGGGTCGCTGAGGGTTAAGTTGGATCCAGAACCGGACGTGCTTCGGACGGTGTCGCCCATAGTTCGCGGTCTTGTCAGGATCGTCACTTTACTATTCACTGTCCTGCCGGGCGCTTTGCCCCGACTCTCCTACACGTGGTGGACAGTGAGTGGACCAGAGGTTCCCAGTGGTCATATTTGCACTCAAATCGGATCGGGGGCTGCGCCGTCAGCAACTAGCGTTTGCCTGTGCTTCAAGGAGGACAAAGCTTTTGCGATTTATCAGGGAGGGCGTGGGTGGCTCGTCTTCAGTGAGAAAACTCCCCATTCTCTTAACCTTGAGCGCAGTGTAAGGAGGAAAGCTTGAAAGGAGGAGCCTTGATTTGGTGAGCAGCCAGTTTTCCAAACGGCCCCGAGGCTCCTTGATATCAGATTGAAGGTAGACCATGGAAATGTGTTGTAATGTACCCCGGGAATCACAGAAGGACGCCTCAAGAAGTCGAATTAAAGAGTCACATGTATTGCAAGCCTGGACTATGGAGGGGCCATTCCCCAAATCTCATAGTGATAAGATGGTGGCAACACCAGACTTATATAGGCAAAGATCACAAAGGTATTGATTACATCTCAAGGTTTGGAATGAGGGACCTGGTTTGCAAAAAAGCAGTTTACAGAAGCAGAAGCAGCATGTTAATTACAGGTTTGGGTCTCTAGATCACAGAGTTGCCAGGAACACATTATCTAGAGCCCTCGGGTCTGGAATGAGGAACCTGGTCAGACTTAAGCATGTTATCTAAATTACAGTTTTTGGGTCTCCGGGAACACTGAGTCAACAGGGACACGTTAACTGGAGCCCTCTGACCTTGGGATAATTGTGCTGTCCTTCCCAGGCAAAGGAAGATGTGCTTTCTAAGACCAGTATGACCACAACCAATGGTATAATTTATATAATTCAGAAAATCAAAATAACTTTTCTGTTGTTAAACAAAGCAAATAAGTACAGAAGCCAAACAGCGGGGTTAAAGTTAAACTATAGTTTCTACCTGAGATGATTGCTACCATACTTCAGATGCAGCCGGGGGAAGAGCCTCGCGCTAGCGGGAGCTCCAAATAATCTGTCCTGTTGAGCAATATAGCAAGTGAGCATCCATGTGGATATAATCGAGCTGCGTTTTTGCTTTTTGAGAATTTCTATAGGAGTTTATTTGAACCAAACAGACTCTGTCTGGGAGCAAGATCTCAAGTGCTCCTATTTCTTTCTTTAATCCTCTTTATTCCCAAACTACTTCTCGTTTTCTCTCCTGCTTGTGAATAATCGCCGACTCCAACAGTACCACCAGTAGAAGAGTCGATGTTCACTCCCTAGAAGGTGTACATATGTGTGGGCAGATACAGGTACGTACTGCACACACTGTCAATTGTCAGTGACCGAACAGGTGAAGCTCAGGTGCCCTCAGCAGGCGAAGCAGGAAGGGGGCTGAGTTTGGAGTCACACACCCAGGTTTCAAGTTCCAGGCTCTGCCACATGCTTCTGCAGGCATGTAGGCCTTTCACCACAGAAAATATTAGCCCCGTAGGTTGCTTATGTGAATAATGCCAGCCCAAGTTACTGGATAGATGTGGTGATCAAAGATAAATTATATGAAATTTATAAACTCAGAAGTGCCATATAGTTTTTTAAAATATATTTTATTGATTTCTTACAGAGAGGAAGGGAGAGGGATAGAGAGTCAGAAACATCGATGAGAGAGAAACATCGATCAGCTGCCTCCTGCACACCCCGTACTGGGGATGTGCCTGCAACCAAGGTACATGCCCTTGACCGGAATCGAACCTGGGACCCTTGAGTCCACAGGCCGACGCTCTATCCACTGAGCCAAACCAGTTAGGCAGTACCATATACTTTTTATTTTTTTTTAATTAAATCTTTATTGTTCAGATTATTACATTTGTTCCTCTTTTTTCCCCCCATAACTCCACTCCTCCCAGTTCCCACCCCACCCTCCGCCCTCACTCCCCACCCACTGTCCTCATCCATAGGTGCACGATTTTTGTCCAGTACTTTTTATTTTTAAAATAAATTCTATTGCACTTACTTTAAGTGCTAGACACTGTTTTAAGAACTTTACAAATATTAACTTACTTAATCCTCATAACAGCCGTGGGAGGTAGGTACAATATTATCTTCACTTTAAAGATGATGGTACTGAGGCACAGAGAGAGTCTAACTTCCCGGGGCTCTGGAATCTATTCTTACTGCACTGAACTGCTTCCTAGAGGTACTGCTGGTTCTACTGTTATTGAGTAAAACAAAACTGAATAGCATTTCCTATAAAGAAAAACCAAAGTCACCTGAGGCTCTTATGCACCCTGTGTGTGTCACTGTGTTAGCCACACTGACGACAGAACTTCCTAGGACTTGCATACTTTATTTAAAAACAGTTATATTTTATCATCTTGAAGTTTATAAATTAAAAAAATTAAATGACAAAAGAACTCTTAAAGAGTAAATAGAAGCCCATAATACTCGTTTATAAAGATTAAGACTTGTGACCGGCCTTCCAGTTGCCATGGCAACATGGGCCCGCCTGAGGCTCTGCTGCTGAGAATACAGAGGCCCACAGACCCTTTGCAAGGGAACTGATCTTTTTTTAAAAAAATATATTTTATTGATTTCTTACAGAGAGGAAGGGAGAGAGACAGAGAGTCAGAAACATCAATGAGAGAGAAACACTGATCAGCTGCCTTCTGCACATCTCCCACTGGGGATGTGCCCGCAACCCAGGTACATGCTCTTGACCGGAATCGAACCCTGGACCTTTCAGTCCGCAGGCTGATGCTCTATCCACTGAGCCAAACCGGTTTCAGCGTAAGGGAACTGATCTTAATTTTTGTCATGTTGCTCCCCAGGTCCTACATTACTTGGAAATTTAAAAAAAAAAAAAAAAGGTAATGTTATTCTAAAAAAAAAGATTAAAACGTAGGTGTTAAAAGGAACATTAAAATGGCATTTTAAATCAGTTTTTTTGTTGTTCATTCTACAACTATTGATCATCAATTATGTGCCAAGCATTGTCTCTGGTGATATGAATATAAAGGTCATCACTGTACTGCCTATTCACAAGGAATTCGGTCTGGTGGGAGAATCACATAAACAAGGTCGTCATGATCATAAAACATGGTAGTTCCCGCGCTGCTGGTGTTACCAGGACATTTTGGAATCCCCACCCCTATCCCCCATAGCTAACTAGTAAGGGAAGTGGATGCTTAAAATGGCTTCCTGGAGGAGGTGACACCCTAAGATGGTTTGAATTTATTTCGTTCCTCTCACTGGCAACCACTGACACTATTTTATCTTCTCCATTTTAGCTGCCATACAGCAGTGGCGATCGGAAGGCAGAGCGGCGGTCTGGCTGCACGTGCCCATCCTGCAGAGCCGCTTCATTGCCCCGGCCGCCGCCCTGGGCTTCTGCTTTCACCATGCGGAAGCGGACTCATCCACGCTGACCCTGTGGCTGGGACAAGGGCCCAGCAGACTCCCAGGATATGCGACACATCAAGTGGGAGTTGCGGGTCAGTTTCTAACCCAAGATCGTCAGCATTAACTTTTTAAAGGTTCCCCCAATTTCTTACTTCGTGCAGCTTGAGCGATGGTGTATCCTCGTGGAAAATTTTGTTGAAATGATTATCCTTGGGACTATTGCTAGTGCATTGACTAGAGGAAGTCTGCCCTGTGAATCAGCACGTGGCAGCTCTGAGCACAAGCAAGTTCAGTGTTTAGTTTTCCACAGGATGCGTTTGAACATGTTTCATACCCGTGTGAACTTCACTACTCAAATAGTAACACTGAATGGGGACCAGGGAATAAATTCATTATGGTAAAACATATTAGTACTAATTATGTAAATTTAAGATAACATAGGTTGAATTTAAGATAAAGCAAACCAGCTTTTTAATGGTTTGAACATTACTTCTTA